GATTTGTGCAGGGAACAATCACAAAGGATTTAGGGATTCGACTTTACCGCTAAGGGACGTATGGCGGTGTAGGGTCTGCACTTTTCTGGCAAACATGTACAGAAGATAGAGGGAGAGATGTATGCTCAAGGGTACCGTATAGCCTGTGGAAGAAGAATATGCAAATATGTAATTTATGTAATAAGACTAGCCGTGTATGCAGGGGGCGGAGACTAATCCCTCGTTCCTTCGCTTGATCCCTAGAACTACCATACATCCTCAAGACTATCTCCTAAAGCTTTGCAACAATCTTGCCTATCAACCCCAAACCCCAGCCACCCTAGCCCCCGAACCCCAACAGCCCTCAAGGGTAGAAGAAACGAGCCCTTCACTACCCCCCATATGGGGCACTCTTCGCGGGTCTGAGGATTGCATCAAGAGCATGCATGGCAACCATGTGGCGGCTCGTCTGCAAAGCTTAAAAGGCTTAAGGTTTGCTGTCTCGGGCTTGGGGTGTAGGGCATTTCAGATCTGGAGTACGTGGGGAGTCAAAGGAGCATCGTGTTGTTAAGGGTTGCTATATATTCTCAGGTGCTAGGGATAGTTGAGTGGTTGTACACACACATTTCAGGGATTCCAAGGCGTTTCTGGTTGTTTGTTGAGGAGGGGTCTGGGAAATGGTTAAATAAAGAAGAGCATCTCACGAGGTACCCTGATCATGGATATTCAACCTGAGCTTGCAGTGGAAGGGCCCTTGACGAATGATCCCATGATAAGTTCAGCATTGACCCGGACTGAGCCAAAAACGTTTGCATAGGGAAAGAGCCTCTTCCTATCACTGCCATTCCTCCTTTGGTCTTTGTCTTCATTTTACGTGCATATTTTGTCTGCTACCACTCTTACCATTGCTACCACCACTGCTATTTGGCTATTTGTACAAGTCCTAAGACTACTAGAGCAGTTGCACCTGAGAAATTCAAGCTCGGCATCAGTATTGAGGTCCAGAAGTGCATTGAGCAGATGCCGCCGGAGTCCGTCTCCTTTGTAGTGGAGGCTGTCGAGGACTCTCAGACGGGTTTACGGTTGCCCAGTTTTTTGGGGTTGGGGGTGCAGGGACTGGGGTGTTGGGGCTTAGGTGCAGTGTTTCGGGTTTAGAGTTTGGCGGTTGCGGGTTGAAGTTGAGGAGGGGGTTTCCTTACGCACTCGACGGGGGCTTGCTCTCGCATGTTGTTAACTTGCTCCTGTTGCTTGAGCTAGGGCTAGGGGAGTTTACCAAGAAATCCCCAGAAGCCTGCAAGAAACATGCCGCAATCCTCTTCTACTCCTTATAGAATCTCGGAGATCCCGAAGAGTCCCCCAACCTGAGAAACCTCCCAAACCCTAGACCTGAAAGCCGCGAAAATGCGAACCCTAGATCACTTAGCCCATGTTGACCCTAAATCCTAAACCCGGATGTTTCGTGCAGCCGGAAAAAGGTCCGCTAAAAAAAGACCTAAATCCTAAACCCTAAATTGACAAGTTCTCAAATCACAGGACAAGGCCGAAGCCATGGCGGCTCACATCTACGGCTGCAGGATCATCCAGCGCCTACTGGAGTCCGGGGCATAATTTAGGGTTTAGGGCTTAGGGTTATGGGGCGTATGGTTCGGGGTGAAGAGCTTTTGGCGATCAGGGTTCAAGGTTTTAAGGTTTGGGGTTTAGTGTTTATGGATTCTTTCCGGTTTTGTTGTAGGGAACCAACCTCGTAGAGAGGGCCAGTGAAATAAACAGACATGGCGTGCCCTCAGCGAACAACTGCCACGCGGAAAGTGAGAAGGCCTGCTTACTTGCCACTATGCCCCAAGTGGGGCCCACTCTGATATGCCCCAAGGCATTGTCTTGCAAGTTGAAAGCTCTGCCTGTTGCAAGCCCTGTATGGCTTTCGTGTTGGTATTAGTGCAAGGGACTGTGTGCCAAAGTGTCAAACATGGCAAAACCCCAACGCCTGAACCCCTATCCACCACCCTGAGCCCTTAACTCTCCGTTCCAAACTCCCGAATATCCTCATCCTGAAAGCCGGTTCCCACAAAATATCATGAAGCTAGCAGGGTGTGCTTAGGTGAGGTATGGGTGGGCATTGCTGAGGCATTGCACCCCCAAGCGACTGGAGAAGATGCTGCAGCAGATCCTTCGCAGACCTGGGCCCAGCTTTTTTTTCTCGCGGAAATAGGGGGCTCCAAGTTGTTGGAGATGGGGCTTGACGGCAGGGCTTCGCCCGTGGGTTTGGGATTTTTGGAGCTTCCAATTTCCCAAACCGTTGAGAAGCACGCGTATGTAAGTTTCCCTTACAGGGGGGTCTGTCAGACGCGAGGGATATTTGGGGACACACACGGGAAGTTAAGGTCGCCTTGTATGGATTCAATCAGGATAAATTTGCAAAGTTCCCATGTGACTGGAAAAACACTTGGTGATACGCCAAGCCCTCAGCCACAAACCACCCATGTACCTAACCCGGGGCCAAACCCGAAACCTGAGGCATCACGAAGTTGTCCACGGATCCATACGGAAACTACGCGATGCGCCCAGCAACGTTGAGCCTGGCTTTTTCGAAGTCATCCGACTAGGGCTTGGAGCTTCGGGTCTATAACCACTTGCTGACACTTAATGAAGCAGTCTGTGCCCCCCATAACCACCGTTGAGGCAAACCACATATGTGGGTTGTATTGACGAGTCGATTGCTCAGGGGCAGATAAGGGGTAATACCCGTGTATGACTCACTTGGGATTCCGAAGCGGGTTCCATTTTTGTCCAAGCAGGGTTATAGAAGCAGCATGGCCTTGCTCTGCAGGTGATTCGCCACATTCTGGAGCATGGCAACCCTGAGCACAAGAGGCGTTTCAGAGTCAGCTTTGCTCTTCTGTAGATTTTAGTGAAGGAAATAAGTTCAAGGGAAAGCTATAAGGGATTATAATAAGCTACTACCGGGATCTGTTCAAGTTTGCCAGCTGCTGCAAGCGTTGCACGAGAAGGAGCATCGTCAATGAAGTTTGCGGACATGCGGCGGGCTCACCTGATTGCAGCGCTTGCAGAAGATCTTGTGAGTTTTTGCTTGGGTCGCGGTGCTGCTGCTGCTGCTGCTGCTGCTGCTGCTGCTGCTGTATGAAGCATGCTTTTCGATGACATGTGCTGAGGTACTTGAGCTTGGCAAGGACTCGACAGAGAACGTATACAGTCACATGGTACATAGCTAGATGAAATGGTGTAAGTGTGTACATATGAACCTATTGTCACTTACAGCTACATCGACACAGATAAGCACCCTTACCAAGGGCGGTGACATACACTATGCAGCACCATGTCTGCATATGCATGTTGATTTTGCAGCTGATCATTTGCGTCGCATCAGTTTCAACTCCCGAGAAATGCTTCAACATTGCAGTTGACTCCTGAATGATCAGGACGATCATCCACTATACAGTTGTAGCACAATGTAACCTAGGACCGTATTGAAGTGTTCAGGCACCTACAGTGCTGGGATGCAAGGACAGGTAGTAAAGAACGCTGCCAACCGCTAGCAGCAACCACATGGGGAAATGGTTCGCATGTTGG